AGCCCCTTGGTTTCTAAAGTTTGTTCTGTTCTCATTCAGAACCCCGTAGTCTCTTGCATGATTTACCGAACATACCTCCAACTTCGTCATCTTTGATCTCCCGGTTGATTTGTCACCCCTGGCGGGTTTATTGGAACTTGCCTCTGGTTCATTGGTTACCTTGTTGATTCTGATTTCCTCAAGCCAGATTCGGATGATTTCTCCACCCTGGGTTGTATGTGTTGGAGAACGGGTTGTTCGGGGTCTTTGATTCCTGCCAGTAGTTCACTTGCTCCGTTGATAAGATGACGTGCAAATGTGTTTCCAACTTGGCAATCGCTGCTCACATGGTTTCCGCACAAAAATCACATGTTAGTTGAGGTGCTTGTATAGAATTTACCTGCAAGTTCCCAACTGTTTTTGGAGTGCAGTGAGGTGGGCTAAGATGGTGTGAAAGCATCTACTTCATGAAGACCGAAGATTTCCTCGTTGTTACTTTCATTCGGTCTTTGATAGTTGTTGCTTGCCAAAACCTCAAGCAACTATACGCCTCTCTGGTGTCTTATTCTGCAAAGCCCCTCCTGAAGCTGCATAAACCATGGTTTGCAGTTACCCATCAAACCATTATAGAATGTTTGGACTTGAAGCCAAACCGGCAAACCATGATGTGGGCACTTCCTCATTAATTCTTTGTATCTTCCCATGCCCGTACAACGACTCGGCATCATCTTGGAGAAATGATGTGATATCATTTCTCAATTTCGCTGACTTCGCTGGAGGAAAGAACTTGGTCAAGAATTTTTGTGCCAAATCATTCCTGTTGTTATCGTTCCCGGTGGTAAAGCCATTAACCACCCTTTTGCTTATATCCCAATGAAAATGGGAATAAACGCAGCTCATAGCATCATCCGACACTCCATTTGACTTGAAGGTGTCGCAAATTTCCAGGAAATTTGCAATGTGCTGATTCGGATCCTCCTTCAATCACCGTTGAATCTAACGACTGCTGGATCATCTGGATGATTGCCGGCTTGATCTCAAAGTTGTTGCTTGTACTGTAGGTCTAGAATACTTGACCACTTCCATTCACTGGGAACTGAAAATTCCCTCGTGTCCTATTTCTTGTTTAGCCATTTCAACAACAACTTCTTCCGATTCTGCAGTAAGTGTATCTCTTTCTCTTCTCTCTGTTTAATCTTCTTACAGTCCTTCAAGCTCAAGGTCAACAGGAACCTGGTTGAAGTCTTGCTCTTCGCATAAACTGAACGAACACAATTGAAAGAAAAATGAAATCACAACTCTAACAAAAATTAAAAAAAAAAATTAAAACTTCAATCTAGTTAAACTCAAGGAAAAACTTAATGTTAACTTATAAACAGTCCCCGGCAACGGCGCCAAAAACTTGATGCGTGTTATTATACATGCAAAACTAGCAAGTACCCTAGTCGCTCAAGTATAAAGTGATGGGTGGTAGGATATTGTTCCACGAGGACTGTAGCAAAGCACTAAGTTCCTAACGTTATCAGTTGAAGTAATCGAATTCCTTGGATTGGTGGGAAAATTTTAATAAAAAGAAAACAAAAATGAAATAAACAAAGAATTAAATCTTAACAAGAAAGCAAAATGAAACACAGGATATCAATTCAAGTAAAAGGGTAGGGCTTTGACTTTTTGGACTTTTATGGGTTAAACCTAAGAGTTACACTATTTTCACCTTCATGCGCAATGGTTGTAAATCGGATTCACTAATATGTAACATACCCTATGGGCTAGTTTTCTATTCATCCTTATTAACATCCGCACCCAACAAATTGAAGGTTAATAATTCTAAATCATTAAGCACAAGAATCCTAAATTGATTTCATTAATTCTGAATCTCTCTAGCAACCAATACTATAATGGTGATTACCCAAGAAGCCTAACATGAATTATTTCTCAATCTCATCATGTTCATCACATACAGCATTTAATTTCAGAGTAACACACAACCAAAGCTTATTCACATGGAAATAACAAAATCAAATACTTAACCCATATAAAATCCAAACTACAATCAAAACCCTAACCATAGAAGATTAGTTCATAGCTAAATTAAAACACAAAAACGAAAAATAGAAATAACAAGTTAAACATAATGAAACTGAGATGAAAGATAAGAAATCTCCCAAAAGATGAATCTTTAGTAAAAATTGAATCTTCCCTTCAACAATCCGAAAAACTACAAGCTTTACTCTAAGAAAAGTATAAAAACGGCTAAACCTAAAAAGCTGAAGACTCCCTTCAACAAAAGGTTAAGTTTTTCTTTTATACTTAGTCCAAAAACCCAGCCAAAACACGCACAACCCGAAACTGTGCGTTTACAAAACTGAATAAGTTGACTGTCGCCGCGGCGAAGAATGAAGAAATCCCACATCGTCTCTGGCCTACTTCGCCGAGGCGAAGACAATTTCTTCGCTGGGGCGAAGCTCCTTCAAAGGTTCTGAAATTTACAAAACTGCCACTCTGTTTGCTTCTTCGTTCGATTCTTTGATTTTCGGCTCTCTTCCTTGGAAACAAGCTTCAACGTGCTTTGTCCTGCTCCGGAACTCTCCTATCTTCTGAGATCCGCTCATTTCTGAGTCAAAACTATCCAATTTTGTCTTTATTCGCTCAAAAAGTCCATTTTAACCTGAAACACGAAAAGTAAAGAATTAAGCACCAATTCAGGTAAAAATGCACTAGAAAGTACCTGAAATCCGACAAAAAAATCAAATAAAAACTGTATAATTTACGGATTATCAATTACTCTAAATCTAAAGCATATAGGTTGTATAATCCTGTGTGTGGAAAAATGATTATTAGCACGAATGTAGTTTTCAATGAAGAGTCAAGTTGGACTTGGCATAAGAATTCATATGGTGTTCAATTGGAAATTTCAACTGAAAATAGTGCTCCACAAATTGAAGTACAACAGCCGTCTTTTTCAAGTCCTTCGACTTCATCAAGCTTGTCTTCTTCAAGTTCATCTTCAGAGGAAACATCTCTAAGAAAATTCAGATCGGTACGGGAGATTTATGAGAATACTAAGCCTTGTTTGTAGCTGATCCAACAACATTTGAAGAAGCAGTAGAAAAGAGAAGAATGGTGTAGTGCCATGAAAGAAGAAATTGCAGTAATTCAAAGAAATGAAACTTGGGAGTTGATGGATTTGCCTGATGGTAAAAATGTAATTGGCCTAAAGTGGGTGTTCAAAACTAATTATCATGCATATGGAAGTATAAAAAAGTGCAAGGCTCGATTGGTGGCAAAGGGTTACTCACAAAAGCAAGGTATTGACTTCAAAGAAACATTTTCTCCTATTGCTCGATTTGAAATGGTGAGAACCATCTTGGCATTAGCTGCACAATTGCAATGGCCAATATATCAATTTGATTTTAAATCAGCATTTTTAAATGGCGAGTTGCAAGAGGAGGTATATGTTACTCAACCCGAAGGATTCATGGTTGAAGGCAAAGAAGAGAAAGTGTATAAGCTGCAAAAAGCACTTTATGGGTTGAAGGAGGTTCCACGGGCATGGTACAGCAAAATTGACTCCTACTTTCTTGATAATGGCTTTGAAAGAAGTAAGAATGAGCCCAATCTTTATTTGAAAAGACAAGGTAAAAATGATCTTCCCATTATTTTCCTATATGTGGATGATATGATTTATATGGGTTCCTCTTCTTCTCTCATTAATGAATTCAAAGTTTGCAAGAAGAAAAAGTTTGAAATGACAGACTTAGGTATGCTACACTATTTTCTTGGGCTAGAAGTGAAGCAAGTTGAAGATGGAATCTTTGTGTCACAGAGGAAATATGCTACTGTATTAGTTAAAAGGTTTAACATGTTGAATTGCAAGATTACAGCTACACCTATGAATTTGAATGAGAAGTTGCAGATTGATGATGGTACTGAACAAGCAAATGCAAGTCATTTCCAGATTTATGCACTGCCCTTCAAAACATGATCTTAGAGCTACAAAAAGAGTGTTGTGATATATTGCTAGAACAATTGATTTTGGGTTGTTGTATGGTTGTGTTTCAGAATTCAAATTGTTTGGTTACAGTAACAGCGATTGGGCCGGATGCTTGGAGGATAGAAGGAGCACTTCCGATTATGTTTTTAATCTTGGATCAGGTGCCATATGCTGGAGTCCAAAGAAGCAAGCAACAGTAGCCTTGTCTTCATCTTAAGCGGAATATGCAACAGCAACTTCAGTAGCATGTCAAGCAACCTGGTTAAGGCAAATTCTTGCAGACATCAGTCAAGAACAAAATGAAGCAACTAAAATTTATTGCGACAATAAAGAAACAATCGTGATGACTAAGAATCCAGCCTACCATGGAAGAACAAAGCATATTGACATTCGGGTTTTTTTTATTTGAGATCTTGTGTCAAATGAATCAATAATTTTAAAGTACTGTAATACTAAAGAGCAGGTGGCTGATATTCTAATGAAATCCCTTCCTCGAGACAAGCATGTCTATTTCAGGCTTCAACTTGGTGTTTGCAACTTTGAATCAAACGGGAGTGTTGGAGAATGATTCAAAAGTGACAGCTGTGTTATTAACTCTTTGACTGAGTCATATGCAGATACTTCATGGCTCCTTGATTTTCTATTCTCTGTTCCTTAGATCATGTCAATGATAATGCCAATAATCTCTACTTTTATTAAGTTAGTTTTTTATTATGTACTGCCTATTTAAAGGCATGTTGAGTACTTCAATTGTAAGTCAATAAGGATCAATATTCAACTTATAGATCTTCTACTCTTTTGTTTACTATTAGTCCTCTGTTTTTCTCTATTGTTCTGCACTCTACCTAACAATGTTAAGCATGGATGAAAAATAGCTAAAATATTATATAATTAAGGCCACCTTGAATGCATCAGAAGCAAGGTATATAAATGACGAATACGAGGGAGGATCATAAAGAATCCATTGCCCATCTTTTGTTTGAATCTCCAATCCATTTACACCATTCTGATGAAGCATGGTTGAAAATCACTTATCAGTGTGGCCAAAAAGACCCAAATAGTTCTCATTCGTCTCAGATTCTTTATATTTTGCGGATCCAGTAACATAATCTGTTGATTGAATGTGAGAGTTATAGTATTTCTCTGCCTCATAGTTTTGGAATACCATTCTCACAACCGTTTGATCTAAATTCATCATTATCTTTGACATCTCATGAGCACTTTCACTGCAAAAGCAAGAAAACACAAGAACGTTGATTTAATTAATTAGCATATAATTTTATTCTATACGTTCAATAGGCAAATACATTCCAAAATTGGTCATTTCCGGAGGGCCACATGAGTTTGGTAAAACTCTGAGCTTCTTTTAAGATGTTTAAATTTTCAATGTCTATACGCTCATGTTTAGGGCCATAGGAATACGCCCTTCCAATAGGCCAATTGCCACGATGAGCAAGTTTTTGCTGTTTGATTTCTAATGGCAAATTGAACAAATCCTTGACTACACTGTAGATTTCACTGTGAAGATTTAAAGAAACTTGATTGCATTTGATCACAAAGCAGCCATACTCTTCTAAAGTGCATACTTCTTTGCACATCGATTCCCAAGTTCTTGTACCAGGCCTCAAGTCTTCCCTCAATGATAAATCTACAACAGGGAGTTTCGGTACTCTTTGGGAAGCCATAATTATTGAGATAGATGGTTGAAAATTTACACCAAAGAAAAGAAAGTGATGCAAAAAGTACAACTTCTTGTTCGAATTCTAGGGTTTACAAACTAACTCTAATTGAACAAATATAGCTATCAATTTAGGGAATCAATCAATAGAACTATGAAAAAATAAACAGAATCAGCAAAAACACAAGACACGGCAATTATAGTGGTTCGGCTTTACAGCCTACATCCACTTTCAAAGGCTCATAGTTGGGTATTCTCATTAATAACCAAAATATACAAAGTGATGAACAAATCAAAGAAGAAAACTTTACAAAAAGGAAAGAACACACCCAATTCGAAAACCCTAGGTTTTCTCCAATATGACACCCTTGCCTTTCTTTTTCATCAATCGATGTTAAATACACATTCACCCTTCCTTGATTAGCCTTCACCTGTCTTCGATTTTCTCCATAACCGTAAGATGAATAGCAATCTAGAAGATTCTTTGGAGTCATGAATTGTCGAGGTAAAGAGAGAAAAGAGAAAACTAAGCATGTGAAGTGTGATAGCCAAAACACAATATGCATATGGGTTTATCCAAAACGATGCCGCACTACTTGTTTGACTCCTAACACCAAAGTTGACTTCCACCGTGGCAAATAATAAGCCACATCATCACAATTCTCCACCTTGGCTTCTTGATTTGTCACCCTATGTGGCCTTGGAATGTATATGTTCACTCTTGAACTTGAAGAAGGCTCATTTAGAGCCTATGTTTTTCAACTAGAACTAGTTTAGTGAACATATCAACAGGGTTATGCAAACCATTAAGTTTTTCAATCTAGATTTCCCCTTTTTCAATCATTTCCCTAATGAAATGAAGGCGAACATCTATGTGTTCGGTTCTTTCATGGAACACTTGGTTTTTGCAGAGATGGATTGCACTCTGACTATCACTATTGATCATCACTGTTTGTTGTTCAATGCCCAACTCATTTGCAAGACCTTTCAACCAGGTAGCTTCCTTTGCTACCTTTGTCAGTGCCACATACTCTGATTTTGTTGAAGATAGAGTAACCATCTGTTGTAGCTTGGATTTCCAACTAACAGTATTTCCCCATAGAGTGAATAGGAAACTAGAGGTTGACTTCCTCTTATCCACATCTCCTGCATAGTTTGCATCTGCAAAACCTTTAACACAACTGTTATAACTTTGATTTTTCTTAAATACGATGCCTACTGATCTGGTTCCCTTCAAATATCTCATAATCCACTTTAGAGCCATCTAGTGAGACCTTCCTGGATTGCTCATAAACCTGCTTATAAGACTTACCGAAAAAGCCAAGTCTGGTCTTGAACACACCATCAAGTACATCAGACTCCCCAGTGAACTTGCATAAGGAACATCTGCCATCTTCAACTTTTCTTCTTCAGTTTGTGGGCTTTGCTCATGTGAAAGCTTTAGGTGAGCTCCAAGAGGAGTTTGGACAGTCTTTGCATCTTGCATGTTGAACTTTTGCAGGATTTTGTCAACATAGTCTTGCTAAACTAGCTTCAGGCTTCCAAGATCTCTATTTCTAATAATTGATATACCAAGAATTTTCTAAGCTTGCCTTAGCTCTTTCATTTCAAACTTGGTGTTCAGAAGCTTCTTTAGTCGAAGCAACTCAATTTTATCATGGCAAGCCATAAGCATATCATCCACATGCAACAATAAAAAAATTTGAGTTAGATTAGAGAATCTTTTAAAATAGAAATAGCTGTCAAAATTACATCTATCAAATCCAATTTCAATCATAAAAGAATCAAATTTCTTATACCACTGTCGTGGTGACTGTTTTAAAACATATAATGATTTTTTTAATAGACAAGCTTTACCTATAGCACTGTTGTATCCTTCAGGTTGTTCCATTAAGATGCTCTCTTCCAAATCCCCATGCAAGAAGGTTGTCTTCACATCAAGTTGTTCTAATTCTAGGTTAAATTGAACTACAAGTGAGAGCAGTACCCTGATGGATGTATGCTTGACCACTGGAAAAAAGATTTCATTGTAATCAACCCCCTTTACCTATGTAAATCCTTTTGCAACTAACCTAGCCTTGTACCTAGGTGCTTCCTAAGAGGTTAGTCCTGGTTTCCTTTTGAAAATCCATTTGCATTTGACCACTTTACTATCTTTTGGTTTATTAACCAAAATCCAAGAGTTATTCTTCATCAGGGAATTGAATTTCTTTCTCAATTGCTCTCCTCCATTCTAATTTTTCAGGTCCTGAAACTGCTTCTTGGAAGGTCTTAAGCTCATCATTCATCTCTTCCTCCACCTGAAGTGCATAAGCAACTAGATCTGCATAACCTAATCTATTAGGAGGTCTGATTTTTCTTCTAGTTATATCCCTTAACAAAAGATAATCTGTCAAGTTTGATACATCTCCAACAAGTGTCTCTTGATCTACTTCATGATCAGCATTTGGTTCATTCTCATGAGCATTTAAGTTCTCAACTCCACCTTAATTTAGACCTAGACTAAGATTAGAGTCATGCACTTCTAGTTCTAAATGATCTAATCCTGGATAGCAGCTCGTTGATACATCAGATTCACCTTCCAGACCAAGTAGAATATCTTCTCTAAAAATAACATCTCTACTTACAATACACTTCTTAGATTCTAAATTCCAGAACTTATAACCTTTAACTCCATCTGGATATCCTAAGAAAATGCATTTAATGGCTCTAGGTTTTAATTTGTCCTCCTTAACATGAACATAAGCTAGACACCCAAAAACTCTAAGATTTTCCAAGTTTACAGTGTGACCAGTCCATTTTTCAAGTGGAACCTTAAAACCTATAGTTGAAGAAGGTGTTCTATTTATCAATTAGACTACAGTATGGACTGTTTCTGCCTAAAACTTAACTGGCAACTTAGAACATGACATAATGCTTCTAACTTTTTCTAGAATGGTTCTATTCATCCTTTCATAGAAACCATTCTATTGTGGAGTATGTCTAACTGTCTTATGTCTAACTGTCACATGAACTGTACAGTAATTATTGAATTCCTCATTGACAAATTCTAAACCATTGTCAATTCTCAATTTCTTTAGTTTCTTTCCAGTTTGATTTTCAACCATGGTTTTCCATTCCTTAGATCTAGGAAATGCTTCATCCTTGGTTTTGAGGAAATAGATCCAAACATACCTAGAGTAGTCATCTACAAAGCTGATAAAGTACCTACATCCTCCAAAGGAATAATGCCTAGATGGGCCCATACATCATAATGCACATACTCAAGTGGTGAGTTTGAGTGGTATTGTCTAGTCCCAAATTTCACTCTACTCATTTTTCCAAACATGCAATGCTCACATAATGTTAAGTTTCTTGTATTAACTCCACATAGTAGGTTTTGCTTACTAAGTTCTCCTAGACCTCTTTCACTGACATGGGCAAGTCTTTGATGCCACAGAGTGGTTTTATCTTGCCCCTCGGTTGACCCAACAGCAGCCACTCCACTATCAATTCTACCCCTCAACACATACAGACCATTCTTCTTTTCAGCCTTTATAACTATCAAAGACCCTTTCAAAACACTAAGACTCCCATTAGCAGCCTTATAACTTAGACCTATAGAGTCTAATGTCCCAAGGGAGATAAGGTTTTTTTTTAGGTCAAGGATATATCTAACATCAGTAAGGGTTTTGGTTAATCCATTATGGAGATTCAACTTAACAGAGTCTATTCCCTTAATATGACAAACAACATTAATCCCCTGCATCACTTTCCCACCATCTAAAGGTTGAAAGGAGCTGAACCACTCCTTGTTAGGTGTCATATGATAGGTGCAGCTAGTGTCTAAGATCCATTCATCACTAATCTTGCCTTCTGAAATAAGTAAGACCTTTGAACTCTCATAACCCTCTGATACTACCCCTGCACTACCTCCATCACCCTTCTTCTCATATTTCTTCTTATTCTTCCTCTCAAGGCAATCTCTCCTAAGGTGACCCTCCTTATGGTAGAAAAAACACTTCCATTTTCTAGTTTTAGATTTTAACATATGTCTATTCTGCCCCCTTTTTTTCCAGTTTTTTTTCTCAGATCTTCCTCTTACTACAAGACCCTCACCATCACTCACATGTTTTTCTCTAATCCTATTTTCACTATCTTTAGCTGAGATAGCTTCTACAACTTCTTCTAACTTTAGAGTCTATCAACCATATTTCAGGGTTTCTACAAAATTTGAATAGGTTTTGGATAAAGAGTTTAATAGGATCACAACTTGATCCTCATCAGCAATCTCAACTGAGATGTTTTCTAGATCTTGTATAATCTTAAGGAAGTCATCCTTATTATCTTTTAGTGTTTTTTGTTCATCCATCTTAAACCCAAATAGACTCTGTTTTAGAAATAATCTATTAGGAACAGTTTTTTACTAGTAAAGGGAATCTAACCTGCTCCATATCTTAGCAGCAGTCTTTTCTTTCTTCACTTCTCAAAGTTCTTTATCACCCAAGCAGAGGATTAGTGAGCTTTTGGCCTTGTTTAACATATCTTGCTTTTCTGCAGAAGTCAAGGTGTTAGGTAACTCATCTTCCGCCTTCAGAGCTAAAGCCAAACCCTCCTTAATCAACACTGCTTCCATCTTCATTTTCCATAATCCAAAATCGTTTTCACCTATAAACTTTTCAAGCTCAAACTTAGTTGACATGTTTTTCTCACAAATTCGAAAAACACAGCAATAGAAAAGTAAACAACTAAGAAAGCCCAAAACTGAATTGAAACACGAGCAAACCAGTGAAACCCTAACTGAACCTTTAACCAAGCTCTGATGCCAATTTGTTTGAATTCTAGGGATTACTGACTAACTCTAATTGAACAAATATAGCTATCAAGTTAGGGAATCAATCAATAGAACTATGAACAAATAAAGAGAATCAGCAAAAACACAAGACACAACAATTAGAGTGGTTTGGCTTTACAACCTACATCTACTTTCCAAGGCTCACAGTAGAGTATTCTCATTAATAACCAAAA